AGACTCAAGCTCTGCCAGGGGAGGTTTGGGTTGGATATTAGGAAGAGATTTTTTACAGAAAGAGTAATCAGGTATTGGAATGGGCTGCTGGGGAGGTCACGGATTCACAATCCCTGGAGGTTTTCAAAATAAGACCGGATGTGCCACTTAGTGCCATGGCCTAGTAACGAAGGTAGGGTTGGACTTGATGACCTTTGAGGCCTCTTCCAACCTGGCTGAATTTTATTATTCCCTGTAACTCTAACTGCATTTTCATAAATGTAACCCTAAGAGACTTGCTCTTGGAAAAATCAAATCTAAAGATACATACATTTTTAAGTGGGTTAATTTCTGAAATATGAGAATTTTATAAGCAAATTAGTAACATTAGCTTATACCCAGAAAAATATTCACTATTGTTTTAATTCACTGACTCTTGATTAAAAATTTGAAAGAATACACTTAAATAAGTGATGTAGCTCAAAGCCAGAAATTATTAACTACTTCTCTTATGTAGTCTACTCTGAAGTCACCAGTGAAAAGAAAGTTTATACATGGCTCTGCTGAGCCAAGATGAATCTCTCTTTCATGCATGAACTACTTCGTTCCACAGCTTTGTTTTCTTCTTCCATTGCTGCCCTTCACATATTTGGCAATATTAAAGATTCCTCAAAGTTTTCTCCTACGTAACTTAGTGAAGAAAAATTACAACTTTGACCTCAAAAATTGAAAGCATATGCTAGCTTGTCATTTCCTGGAAAACTAAATAGAGAAGAAAAATGTATTTTTCTAAGCCCCCCGGTGACACTCCTGAATTTGACACAATTTTGAGTTCAGTTTTTATTACCTTCTTAAGCAGGTGTTTACTCTTTTGGCTTCAGTAAAGCAGGTTAAAAAATATAACCAAAAGCTAGTTATGACGTATGTGTAGTAAATGGTAATTTTCCATCTGATCACCCTGGTTTCAGCTAACAGTTTAGATAATACATGCAAATACTCCTTGTAGTATGTTATTACACTTAGCTGCCCAAGAGATGAGCCCAAAGCATAAAGTTCAGCTCTGCACCTGAACTTAACCTTCTTAAAGTTCTTCAGATCTCAGATTGGAAAATCAGATCTTTTAAAGGCAATCCAGAACACTTGGAACTAGCTCCCCTACATTTGGAAGCATTCAGACATGGCCATCATTTGGTTTGTTTCTGTATTCTGTTGTTAATTTAGTTTTAAAATCTATCTCAAAAACCCCATCAAATCAAGTAAAATAGAACATTCCTTTTCCCCAATTTTATTAAATTGCCTTCCATTAGTTATAGCTCAAGGCACATATGTGTGTTTTCTAACAAATGGCTGCATTGTCTGGATCAAAGCATTCAAGTATGTACTGGGAAAGTTGTGTGGAGACTGGAGATGGATTAGACAACTCTACATCTTCCTCATTTGATCACATTATTCACTTCCAACTCAAAATAGCAAAAGCACAGACTGTGTATCTCTGCATAAATATACAAATATATATGTGGTGTGAAGTAGAAAATTACTTTAGGAAAAACCTTCTCAATATTAACCACCTTCACCACTCCTTTCAATTTGAAAAGGAATAGCAGTTGTGTTGGGGAATGCTAATTGCTAAAGGAAGCAAGTATTATTTTCAGCAATGAACTAAAATCTAAGTTGCAGCTCATTAGTAAAGAAGAAAATATAACTTAAAGCTGATCCTGACACTTTTCTGTGAATCACTGGTCTCATTCAAAAGCTGCTCTGGTAAATGTTGCTTTTCAGTGGTATCAAAGAGCCAAAAATAGAGCTAAGGTCTGTTGCAGAGCAAAGTTTTCTGATCATCAGGTCTTTTTCCTCATTGCAGCAGCATGTGGAGGGACATTTGGCTGGAGTGAAAATTCACAAAAACCTTTGTCCTGACATAGTGCCAACATGGCATCACTCAAACCAGTGATCCTCCCTGAGCTAGTTAAGCCATGTTCACATCCCAAAATAATGCATATGGTACAATACAAAACTGCTGCATCATGCCGGAGCAGCTGTCCAACTGTGTTTCTACAACAGGCTTTTTTTCAGACTACACAATTTTAACTGCAGTCTGCAATTCATACACACATGGCATGTTTGTGCCCCATAACACAGCTGCAGAGTCTGAATACACCAACTAAAATGTATGGAAGTTAAGTTCAAGTTACTCTTTCTGTGGGTGTAGCTGCTGGCAATCCTGGCACTTTCAGGAACTGAATCAAGTCTTTGCAGAAATAAAAACCAGAAAAAAATATTTTCTGTAGTTTCCTCCACCCTTTCTCACTGTTTCTTTTTCTCTTGCCACAGCTAAGATATGGACATAGACTAGAGATCTAGGGACAGCTACTCGTGTCTGATCTTTCTCTTACAGAAAATGCACGCATCTTCCTATTTGGATTGACAAGACTAATTGAATCTTTCTGTTTCTGTGGTTCCAGACATGGTACCTAACAGTCTCTTGTTAACTCTCATAAATAAACCCCACCTTGTTGTACTTATTTTCTTTCTTTTTTTGAAGTTGTCTCTGCTCTCAAGATCCTATTTTAAAGAAAGTGTGATGGAGCAGGATAGCAAGAGTCCTATGCTATGAAACAGTGTGAGATAAAATTCCCTTTAATTCAATTCAGAGCATCGAATCAAGAATACTGAGTACTAGTACTAGTAGTTAGGCTTCCAAAGTAAGATAAAAACATATTAGCTAAACAGACAGCAAACTGTTTCACTAATAGCTATATTCAACAATATAAGCTCTCACTCTAAAAGTTCTTAAAACATGGATTGCCAGAAGCTGGGAGAG